AATATGTCCTAGGGTACTGGGGTTATGTTTCTTTTTCATTATTTTGTAATATACTCAACAAAATATTATACTGAGACTATTTTAGTGCTATAGAATCTTATATAAATGAATTTGTTCAAGAGCTTCCCTGTCAATACCCTTTTCTGGGTATACATCATAGTTCAGAGCTTCTTCTTCAACTCAGGCAGACAACTGTACATTGACCTGAAGTCTTGAGAGAGAATCTTCAGGACTTGGTACTATTACTAATAATGATTTGGTTTCCTTACATTATGGCTGATACATTCCCAGGCTCTGGCCTGTTCTGCTCATCAAGAAAATATTCAAAGACTTTATTCATTATAATAATATCAGCATTTTGCAGAAGTGAACCCTGGGGTCAGATGTCTGCATGAAGCACCTTTATTCATTCTGTCAGTGAACTTGTATTTTTTAATGATCATTTCCTGCAACTGGCAAAAGTCTCCATTCAATCCTACTCCATATAGCTGCAATGCTAAACTGTGAAGATAACCCCCACCAAAGGACCGTGCCCAGCCTGGAGCCAGCGTCCACCAAGGCCTTTCCCAAAAGATCGGGGAACACAGGATGGTGAACGAACTTCAATTCCATGAGAGAGAAGGGATGAGGAATAAACCCTAAAGGTGCCGCCGGGTGTGAACTGCACACCATACGGTAGTTTCCGCTCATTTTTCCTTCCTCGCGTACTGTATCAATAACGTCTTCATCCTAAAGGAATGCATCCACGGGAACTGCGGGTTCTGGCTGCTGCTGTATTTTTTGGAGGGCCAGATGCTCTGAAGAAAGCATGGTTTCTACAGGTAGGCAGTTCCGAAGGTCTTCTATGTTTTTCAACATAATGTCATTATTATCTTGAGTGAATTCATCAAGATCTCTAAACCCTTTCCGAAATTTCAGTGAAAAATTGCAGGCAGGTGCCCCACAAGTGAAAGTGTTAGGTCCACTGTTTAGGGAATTCACAGCCCCCACTTTTAACTTACCGGGGTGGGCTTTAGTCTTTCTAGATGTTTGCATCTTCTAGTCAGAATTGTAATTGAGGTTTCTGATAAGATATTTAAACATTACTCTGGCCATTTAAGCAGTGGGACTGTGTATTGATGTCCAAGCTGGGCTGTCAATTCTTGCTTTGTAAGTAGCTGCTTATGCCCAGCACAGCAGAGCTACACTGAGCAAATATTTGAATGAACAGGCTAAGTAACTAAGACATGTTCTCACCACACGGACAGACGAGATTACATTTGTCTACAGGTAATAAAGCAAAATCATTTTGGATCTCACTGACACTGTAAGACTTTTGGTGAACATTGTGTAGGCCTGGTGAAAACTGGTACTATATTTGAACAGGAAAAACCTCTGCTCTTCAGAGGAGCTCTTATCCTTGTGATGCCAGCGTTCTTGTTCACAAAGCCGAAGAATGAGCTTCACAAACACTCAAGGTAGCAGAGCAAGGTACAGGCTTTTATTTAGAGATAAAGTGACAGGACAGAGCTCCTGGCTTCTGCCAGGCGGGGACAAGAGAGTCCGGGGTGGTGCGTTGTCTAGGGGTTTTATAGGCAGATGAGGATTTTTCCAGAACATGAAAAAAGCTTAGGGGTGTGGACTTATTAAGTGGTCCCAGAATATTTACAATTAACATGATACAAGTAACCTCCTGCTCTGTTGATTTCTCCGAGATACCAACATCTTGGTCTGGGGGCATATGAAACAAGGCCACCTGCTCAGCCTGACCCCAAGGTGGGCTGAGGCATTGTTTGCTAAAGGGTAAATTAAGTGCAATCTTTTCTTTAAGTTGTAATCCTTATTGCCTTTTACTGTGTTATGTCTGGGCTTGCATGCTAAATTAGTTGCCCAGTTTGCAAAATCACGTCATCAGATCTGAAGGAAAGACAACACGTAGGCCTGGGCCTTTTAGCATGTTAAAGTGAAACTTACACGATTATAAATGTTTAGCATAACCCTTTATCTGGGGTACACCAACTGATCTCACTGAGGAATGATCTAGAGCTGAAAGTTTAACACAGAGTTTTAGTAGGGGGTTTCCTTGCACGTTGTTACATGGCTCTGACTGCAAATACCCTGCCTTGTTTTTCCCGGAGGCCCTCACCCTGCTCTGACTACACCCACGGTCCCTGTCTCACTTGCAACTGCCCAGAGCACTCTCTCCTATGGTGAAAAGCCAGCTCTCCTGCGATCTCCTGACCCACTTCCAGCCCAAGTTCTCTGGAGCGTGTTTATACTGTCAATGGGGCCTGAGTGGTCAGGGTGGGTGGGGGGCCTGTGCCTTGTGTTCAGGCACAGGGCCATGTCTTCCGCATCTCATCTCCCACATGGGCGCTATCTTGGGGAGGGTGTCATTGCACCTGATCAGACTAACGCTGAGCACAGTGACCAAGTCTCCATGGCTCCCTATCGCTTCCCCAAGAGCACTG